GTCGGAAAGCCGCTAACTCGATGATATTGGCTCTAGGAGAAAGTTGGTTGTTGCTTGGGGAGACGGAATACACGGTCCCCGTGACCGTGCTAGGCTCAGAGAGTGGTTCCATCCAGTGTGGAGAAGGCTACGGCCCAAACACCGACTTATGTACGTCTGGTACACATGATTCCAAAATTAGGATGCTGTTGCTGTGCAAGTTAAAGGAGTGCAGGCCGGCTCCGCTGATGAAACGTGGTTGCCATCCACATGCCTCCCGGTCTTATTCCTTCAGGTTTACACTGGATATGGGTTGTGTGGATGGAGCTGTGGGTGGTGCAGCGCAAGCCATCCATGGTCCCTCTGTAGGCGCAGGCGTCCTGTGGCTGGCCACAGTGACAGGTAAATCCGGAACCGGATACCAACAAGTATACATATTGCGGATGCTGAAGAGAATCTAGGCCTTCAGAATGAAGTACAAGAAACGGAAAACCGGTAACCAACTCGTAGCCGAATGAACCAAAATCGCCTGAGTTAAGACAAACAAGTGATACTACACGCCATTCCCGACAACTTACCCAGGTCACTCAAAAACTTGCGATCCAAGCGACCTCCATTTGAGAAAAAACATGTTCGTTACTTTTTCGCTTTGCGATGCTACAGTTCTATATATAAAACCCCCGGTAAATGGTCGACGCTTCACACCCAGTGGTTAGACCAGCTGCCTTGAGGAAGGACGTTGGGTAAGTATGGATTATAGTCAAATGTTGTCGGCCAGCAGACTGAACAAACTGATCCAAAGCGATGCGAAGCACAGAACCTAGCATTCAGTAGAAACCAAATGAGTCCTGGATGCGCACTGGATGTAAAAGGATTCTGCGCCCTTATCCACCAAAAAGTAAAGTTCGAATAAACCTATCAACTTCATCGGGCAACATCTTCGTCTATAATCCTGCCTCAAAAGCAAAGTGAAGCGTCGTAGCACAGCTGTTGAGGCGCAGTGACACCTTTGGGTATTTATTGTACCATAACATGTAGCGAGATGAGAAATAGGTGGTAGGTCAAATTAGGGTGGCCACATGGGTTGGTTAGAAAGTTCACTTAGTGAATCACTTAGGTAACCATTTAGCCGAGAGGTTATAGGTAAAGGTAGAACCATGGAGGTATTTTGTGTATGTGAACCGGTACTTAGAAAAATAAGAAGCGGATAAATTCGCGCGATATTCAGATGTAACAGGGAATAAGAACGAGCAGAAAGATTTCTTTGCACCTGAAGTAGGGGTAAGCAATACAAGTCGAAGTAGCCGACTAGCCGGTTCGACCCAACCGGGACCCCAACAAGGCACAAAAGTGCCTATCACCAAGCGTCAAGTGACGGATTTCGGCGTTACAAGGTCCGCTCATCAGACAAGAGCAACGCTGTAGAGGCATCGAAGACCAAGCACGGTCAGACCCATGATATCTTCAAAGCGCAGCGGTGGTTCTTATAATAACACCGCAGTTGTGAAACCGACAATTACACGCTCACATCCCACGGGTGAGATAAGTAGCTGAGACTCTCGAAAGCCACATGAACCCAAACAATGCGTGCGGAAATCTCCTCATTAATGTCAACGCCAATGACGAAACAGCCAAATATATAATAAACGGATCGGCAACCATCTTAGGATTGAAAATACAGGTGGCGAGTCAGCCCAGCGTAGTGGAAGTACTTTGCATATTGAACGTGTAAAGCACATGCCCAAGTGTCCAGCCTATTCAGTATGGTTTGCAGAGCGACTGGGTCCGACACGAAGAGAGACAAATAGTCCACGTACTCCAGAAGACGTGGGAAAAGCAGAGTGGACTTATTAATGACTTCAATTACCAGATTGAAGAAAGAAAAGGCAGTCTAGGTGAATTCCATTTGGTATGAAGAAATCAGGGGATTCTTTCGTAGACACTCATACGGCCACGGAGATTTTCGATACTTTCACAGACAAAGGACATCCCAAATAAGGATGATGAACCGAAGGAAAAGTAGCCTTATACTCAAGAGAGGCTACCATGTTTGATACTTGACCAAACAAAAGGCATATGAACCGAGTAATCGGTCACCGGCTCCCAGTGGACGAGATTCCCTGAATTCGCCCCGCTGCCTTGCAAATAGACCATTGAGCCAAAGACTCGGGGTGGCGGCCCCTTAAGACAACCTCCTACTTGGGCCTAGGCAACCGGGTAGTATCTCACCTAGTGATGAACCATGGAACTGAACTGCACTCTTCGCTCTACTGATGCTTTGCACTCACGCTACTACTGCACTCTTCCATCACACGCCACTCGCTTATCTACTCTTCCCCTGTATCATTCCTCCGAGTTTTGGGTTAATCAATCAACGATAAGTAGCATTGCTTCCCTCGATATCACTGTTGCCACTTCATCCTCTGGCATAATCACACAGCGCTAGTGCAACCGAAGACACAGTTCAACGTGGCAGCGTTCAACGTGTGCACCTTAAAACAGATTGGGCAACAAGCCGGTCTCGCGCGCACTCTATAAACTCTTGCAATTGATGTCTGTTGTTTGTCCGAAACACAACTTCGGGATTCCAGCACAGTCTACCCATTGTTGTCACCAATTCACCCTTATACCCGTTTCCACCTTCGACTTTCTGGATACGCCGAGTATACCGCTTCTGGGCAAGCTGGTGTGGGGGTTGCCCTTAGTGCCAGAGCCGAAGCCGCCCTTCTCGTATGGATTCCGATCAACAATCGGCTTTGTGCTGTCAAGCTCCATGGCTCGTGCAAAGTTAACAGGCGTCGAGAAGACAAATGTTCTCTTTTTGTAATCTCCGCCTAAGCTCGCACTGACTGTAGCCCAGATGCCGTTATGGACCAAATCGATCAGAACCTTTATGATTTGCTCTTAAGGGTCCCAAAACGGACATCAGTATTATGGCGGGGGATTTCAACTTGCGCGTTGGTTGTTTATTACCAAGCGAATGCCATCTTGGAGGCCCGCATGGATACGACAACTTTTGTTTAGACAATGGAGAAAGACTACTCAGTTTGCGTGCCGTCCACCAACTTTACCTCTCCAGCACGAACATTCGAAACCCTAGAGGTCATTATGCTACCTTACACACTCCATCATCCCCTCAACGTTGATCACAGATTGACCACATCGTCATAAGTCATCGATGGCGTGGCAGTATACGGGACTGCAGATCCCGTTGGACAACATGCGTGGAAACGGATCATGTGTTAGTACGTGCGTCGGTTTGCATGCGTTTCGGTGGCTCGCATAGGACTAGACAAGCTCGAGTTAACTCTAGTGAACCGAAAGACCCGCCGTGCAATTGAAATATCAACAGCAGCTTCGTGAGAACCTCACTTTTCCGCCTCCTCGAGACGTTGATCAGTATTTGTCGCGATTGCAACAGAGTATATTTTCAGCGGGTGTATCCAGTTGTTGGTTGCACAACTAAAATTGGGATCTCGGCCACCTCCGCGGAAGTTTTCGACTATCGGAGAGCTATACCCGTCAGTGTGGAGCACGCTGAACTCCGTCGTCCTATCTCCAGACAACTGAAAGCGGGTCTTCGCCGTGACCGTGAATCTTGGCGGTCTAATCAGGCCAAGGAAATGGAAGTTGCTGCCTCAGTTGATAACAGCCGCAGGTTGTTTTATCTCATCAGATCCACCGGACGCAAAGTTCAGGCCAGCAGTCAGATACAGTACGTAGAACACCAACCTACGCAGACGTCTGGATCGCTGAGCAGAGTCCTTTGCTCTCCAGTTTAATGGCCCAACACAACCTCCAAGTACACATTCACTGCCATCATGTGATCCTTGGTCAGTTGCATAGATCCTCCCACTGAAGCAGAAATACAGAGAGAAATCCAGACTCTGAAACGCCACAAAGCTCCTGGCGTTGACAGTCTTCCTCCGGCCTTATTCAAAGATGGAGGGAATTTAGTTGTCACCGAAATTCTATCATTGTTCACAAAAGTATGGAACGATGAGAAGGTTCTTAACTCATTGGGAGAACCAGTTGTGGTTCCGATCCACAAGAAGGGCTCTCGTAGTGAAGCACCAGCTACTGAGGAATCACACTTATCTCTGTCGCGTCCAAACTCTTTGTGTCCATTCTGCTGCGTAAGCTCTCAGTTACACGCTAGTTTGTGTCGTGAGGAACAGGCTGGCTTTCGTTATGGCCGTGGTTGCACTGACCAAATTTTCACGTTGCGTCAAATTCTCGAACATCGCCATGTCCACCGAAGACCAACAATGGTGGTGTTTTTGGATATCCGAGCCGCTTTTGACTCAGTAGATAGAGCGTCACTGTGGAACTGCCTGCTACGGAACGGCGTTCCCGACAAGTTCGTCATAATCTTGAAAGAGATGTATAGTCACACCAGAGGCCAAGTTAGAGCTTATGGTAGGTTTTCTTCTTCATTTCCTGTTACCATTGGAGTGCACCAAGGTTGTCCTATCTCGCTGTTCCTGTTCAACTTTGCCATCGAAGATGCCCTACATCGCGCACTCGAAGGAGCCAAGAGCTGCGACATTGGGCTTCTACCTGGGAGCAGCGTCGTGGACATGGACTATGCTGATGACATCGCTTTGCTGGGGGACAACTCGCAGGTTATTCAAAACATTCTGAACCGCTTGGCGATAGAGGCATCTAAGTATGGTCTGTATTTTGCTTCATCCAAGTGCAAAGCTTTGCATCAGGATTGGCAGGCTTCTGTGCCTACGCTCTCCATTTCGCGTGTCAGTCTGGAGCTCATTAACAGGTTTACTTACCTCAGGAATTGCATTACGGCTGGTGGGGGTACCGGCAATGAAATTTTACAACGAACTGCCGAAGCTCGCCTTACACTTACTAACCTGAGACACTGGTGGTGTCGTCGAATGTCAGTCTCAAGGTCAAAGGCCGAGTGTACAATGTCAGAGTTCATGCAGTTCTATGGTACGGCAGCGAGCATGGCCTGTTCGATCGGAAGATTTGAGACGACTGTCTATTTCCGACAACGCTGCATACGTTCGATTGCACACGTATGGCGGCAGTACCATGTCAGCAACGCGGAAGTTAGAAGCAGAATCATGGGAGCGGACAGTCCTGGTCTCCAGAGCATATGTATCCAACACCACTCGCGTTGGTTCGGTCAAGTACTGCGCATACCGGCTCACGCGTTCCACGTCGCGCATTATATGCACTCCTTTGGAGCGAAGGGAAAAAGAACCGCAGCGGACAACCGATGACCTGAAAAAGGAGTATGAAGATTCTAAGTTCGTGTTTAGCGTCAGTTGGATCTGTGCGCCTCCCAGGCTGGGGACCAAGAGAAGCGGATTCCAAATGGTTGGAAGTCTTGGAGGATATGGCGCGCTATAGGAGTCAATGCTGTTCTACCATCTCTTCATTCTGTACATTTTAATGCCGAAAAAACATGAAAACAAAAAACTCAAAATAGCGTGTGTGAAGCTGGGGAAAAAACATTTTTGTAACGTTTTGTAAAAAGTCGGTCCTTCAGGGACAAAACGTATATTCTGCAAACAAAAGGACCAGGCGAAAACGCAGGCAGAGGGCGAGTGAAACATATCGGCATATACAGCTAGTTGGATCCATAATTAACGACCTTTGTGAATGCATGACATTTTTCCTTCGATTCAGTCAAACAAACTCACTCCAATGCGTCCAACTGTTGGCCAATCAGCGTGCATGCGAGAAACGTGTGAACGTCCAATTAGCTGCCGCCTTTCCTTGCGGCAGCCTAACGGCTTCCTTGCTGGGCTGGCACCGCACGTTCGTTTGAGTGTATACTCCCATCACATCCTCCCTTTTTTCATGTTCTTGCTGCTGTACTTTGCTAAATAGTCCATACACTTTACCACTCCGCGTCCTCTTTGTTGGATCTGCCGATGTCGCCTCATTGCCGCACGCAGTATAACGCTCTCTCCCTGATTCATGCTGTCGTCTCGGACATCTCCTCAGCTGTACTCGGTTTCTTCTCAGCTTCTTCCCTCCAACATTTACTTCGTATGATCTTTCACCGACTTTCGCGGCCACGACTCCTTTTCTCTACCGCTCCAGTCCATCGGGAATTGGTTCAACCCATACTTCTTCCCCCACTGTCAGCTCAGGTGATTCCCGTGTGCCGTTGTCGTAGTACCGTTTCTGAGTAGCCATTCGCTTTTTCAAACTGTTCTGTACTTTCTGAAGTTGTGGCGCGACAGGGCGCAGAAGTGTTGAGGATGCAGGCATCACAGTTCTGGTCCTTCGACTGTATAGGCGCTGCACTGGGCTCAGACCGATATCCGTTGAAGGAGTGTTGCGACTCTCCAGTAGCATGAGGTATGGGTCCTCCCGAGTATCTCTAGCCTTCGCTAATAGTCGCTTGGCTTGCTTCACTGACGACTCTGCCTTCCCATTTGATTGACTGTGATAGGGACTGGTTTGCCGGTGTGCGAATTCCCATTTGGTTGCGAAAGTCTGGAATGCCCTGCTGCTGAACTGGGGACCGTTGTCCGAGACCAGCTCCTCCGGTATCCCGTGCCGTGCGAATTGACATCTGAGTATGTTGATTACTGCCTCCGTGGTCGTGGTGGTGAGTAAATCGATTTCAAAGTAATCACTATAGTAGTCCACCGTGAGTAAGTAATCCTTTCCGTTGTCCCAGAATAGATCCACTGCTACCTTTTGCCACGGTCGGTCAGGAACATCATGCAGCTTCATCGGTTCCTTCGTTTGCCGAATGTCGTGTGAACGGCACGCCTCACAGTTAGACACATGATCCTTGATCTGACCTGTCATTCCTGGCCAGAACATCAGTTCTCTTGCTCGATTAATGGTGTAATTTGCACCCAGGTGAGCGCGATGGACATGCTCCAGCATCTCCTTTCGGAGAGAAGAAGGGATTAGGATGCGACTTCCCTTGAACAACAGACCGTCACAGAAAGTGAGTTCGTCCCGAAAATTGAAGTAGGGTGTTAATTCCTTCGGGAGCTGCTTCTTTGTTTCTGGCCACCCATTGAGGATAACGTCTCGCAAAGCTGCAAAAGTTTGGTCTTCCTCCGTGAAACGCCTTATGTCTTTCAAACGGTTTTCTGTCACTGCCAGATGCTGCACCATGCTAACTGTCTCGATCTCTTCTAGATGATGTTCGGCCACTGGCGGATGTGCTCTCGACAGGGTGTCCGCGATGAACATCTGTGTGCCAGGTGTGTACACAATGTCAATGTCATACTTTTGGAGCCGGATAAGCATACACTGCAGACGGCGAGGAACGTTATTCAGTGGTTTAGTGACTATCGACACCAGCGGCTTATAATCAGTGTACACGGTTGTCTTTCTTCCAAAAGCATAATCATTTAAACGCTCCATGGCATAGACCACTGCCAGCATCTCTTTCTCGATCTGTGCGTACCGCTTCTCGGTCTCTGTGAGTGCTCGACTGTGGAAATCCAAAGGTCTTCCGTTCTGCAACAGAACAGCACCTATTCCACTCTGGCTACTATCACACTGTACCTGCAATGGTTGTGCTGGACCGTAATATCCGAGTACGGGCGCATTACTGATAAGGTTCTTAATGGTTTCGAAAGCCAAATCCTGTTCCTTCCCCCAGCTCCAATCTACTCCTTTGTGAGTTAACTGCCTAATCGGAGTCATGACATCAGCGAGTCCTGGTAGGAACATGCTTAAATAATTCACCATACCGTTTAGGCGATGGACTGCCTCCACATCGTTATGGGACGGCATCTCTTGTATCGCCTTACTCTTCCCTGGGTCAACCCTGATTCCGTCGGATGTTAACACATGTCCATGAAAAATCACCTATTTCCGCAGCTCTACTTTCTCGCGTTTTAGCTTGATGTTCTTTTGCACGCAACGCCTCAGGAACCGGTGTAGCTTAGTGTCATGCTCTTCTTCGGTAGAACCGTAAATCAGAACGTCATCTGCCACACAGGTTACGCCATCTAAATCATCTATTGCTTGCACCAAACGCTTTTGGAAAATTTCGCTAGACACCTTCAGACCAAAGGGTAATCGCAGCCAACGATAACGTCCGAACGGTGTAGCAAATGTGGTGAGGAAACTGGATTCGTCGTCTAGAACAACGTGCCAGAATGCGGAAGAAAGGTCTACTTTCGTGAAAAACTTAGCTTTTGTCAAACGTGGTAAAACATCTTTTAACGTCGGTACCGCATAATGTTCTCTACGCAGGGCCTCATTCAGTGGCTTCGGGTCTATACATACGCGTAGTTCGCCATTTTTCTTCGTAATGATTGCGACCTGGCTAACCCAGTCTGTTGGCTCATCAACCTTTGCAATCACACCTTGAATAATCAGCTGGTTCAATTCCGCGGAAAATCGGTCAAGTAGCGCAAATGGGACTCTCCTAGCCGGTAACGCAATCGGGCGTACCAAAGGATCTAACGACAGGTGAGCGGTACCCTCAAATTCCCCTAAACCCGGGCTAAACACAGACGGATACAGGTCACTACCATCGGCTTCACTCTGACAAGCGTAAACAAAATGATCATGGTTAAAAATGACAAAGCCAAGAGATAAAATCGAATCAATGCCGAGAATCGGCGTGAGATCCTCATCCACGATCACGAACTGCAGACGATGCGAAACACCGTCTCTCGGATTGACCACTTCAATTGTCGCTGAGCCCTTTGGCTTGAGTCTGGAACCATTCCACATGCGCAAATAATCTTGATCCGATCGAATTTGCACGCCGCAGTAGTGCTTTCTGGGCAAAATATTGATCGTCGCGCCTGTGTCTAACTGGAATCGCACAGACCGTCCCTCGATCAGATGACTTGCATAGACACACTTCTGCGACGCTTTCCGAGACACGTTACCAATCGATTGTTCGGTGTCTTCTGTTGATTTGGCTGGAACGAGTGCACTGATATCTGTCGACTGACAGCAGCGGGCGAAGTGATTGCGCTTCCCACATTTGACACAAATGCGGCCCCACGCCGGACACTGTTCGCGGTTCCTCGGATGTCGTGTTGCACAGAAGTTGCAGGGCTCCTGTCGCGCGGTCGTGGCCCTCGTAGTTTTGCTCCTGGAAACGGCGCACAACTCTGAATCACCTGCGATTGTCATCTGCTGGAACTGATAGGCAGTGGAGGACTCACTGTTACAGATGTCGATACATTGCTGCAGAGACAGGCTGCGCTTTCGTAATAGTCGCTTCGTCAAACCTTCGTCATTGATCCCAAGAACAATGCGGTCCCGTATGAGACTGTCCGCCATGCATTTACAGAAACTGCAGGATCGGGCCAAAATCTTTAGATCAGTGACGTACGTGTCAACGGATTCACCTGGCCGCCTGTTCCGCGAAAAGAAGAGGTAGCGTTGAAATGTCTCGTTTGTTTGGCCTTCGCAGTATTCACTGAACTTCTCAAGAACTGTCTCCAGATTGTTGGCATCTTCGCTCTTGTCGTAACACAATGTCTCTAGCACGCGGCGCGCATCATCTCCTGCTGCGTGTCGAAACATGGCCAAGCGGTACGCCATCGGTTGTTTGTCCAGACGCGATAAAGTGCAGAAATCCATCCATTTGCTCTTCCACAAACGCTCGTTGCTTGCCAAACTGCGTTCATCCATGTTCAGCGGGACAGGCATTTGAATAGCCGGTGCAGCTCCAATCATCGTCTGGGTGGTACTAATGTTCTTCTCGTTCTCTGACACCATGTAAAAAGTCGGTCCTTCAGGGACAAAACGTATATTCTGCAAACAAAAGGACCAGGCGAAAACGCAGGCAGAGGGCGAGTGAAACATATCGGTATATACAGCTAGTTGGATCCATAATTAACGACCTTTGTGAATGCATGACATTTTTCCTTTGATTCAGTCAAACAAACTCACTCCAATGCGTCCAACTGTTGGCCAATCAGCGTGCATGCGAGAAACGTGTGAACGTCCAATTAGCTGCCGCCTTTCCTTGCGGCAGCCTAACGGCTTCCTTGCTGGGCTGGCACAGCACGTTCGTTCGAGTGTATACTCCCACCACAGTTTTACTTGCTCTCTCCTTGTTGAACATTATATTATCCTTTCCCTACCTCCATGATTCGGACGGCACATTTGTCTGTTTATAGACTTGTGAATAAATATCAATATATATACTATCCAGTATGGTTTGCAGGGCGACCGGGTTCAACACGAAGAGAGCCAAGTCGTCCACGTACTCCAGAAGAGATGGAAAAAGCAGAATGGACTTATTCATTACCACTTCAACTACCAGAATGAAGAAAAAGAGAAAGAAAAGGCAGCTTTGGTAGGAGGAAATCAGGGGAGATTCTTTCGTAGACACTCACACCGCCACGGAGGTTTTCGATACTTTCACAGACAAAGGATACCACAAATAAGGATGATGAACCGAAGGAAGAGTAGCCTTCTAGTCAAGAGAGACTACCATGGTAGGATATATGTGAGCAGAGTGCTACTCGAACAGCTGGAGAAAAACAAAAATGCTGTCAAGTCGCCGAAACGTGAACTAGCTTGCTCAACACCGATTCATTTCTCACGAAGAGCACTGGGCAATCGCAGTATGTCGCACTCCAGCAAGTGTGATCAAGTGACGTTTCATGACGTTACAGGCACCTTGAAAGTGACATCTTCCTTGCTTCGATTAAGCCAGTCGGGATCCCAGATAGCCATCTACTATTAAAGTGACTCAAAGCAGGAAGATAAATGATTTTGAGTGATTGTTGCATAGAAGATTGGAGGCAACTCCAGTCCGCATCCTGACCGTCTGCCTCTTTGGAAAGAGACAGCTGATGTCGCAATGCGGACTGATGTTTCCTTTTGGCAGAGTACGCATGAAGGTAGCGAGTGAACACCGCCAGGGTTGAACACAGCCGAAGTAAGAAGAGTGAGCGTTATGCGGGCATGCACTTGAGCAGGGTCGGAATCGGAGCATGTGCCCCAAATCGACCGATAACCTGGTATTGACGTGCGCTATAAGTGACAGCGATAAAGTCGATTTGAGTCCAAGGCAGCCTGTCGTTCGGTAGCCACCATGTAACTCAGTGTGAGTGTTAGTGATGGAGAGATGTTCGATTGATATGGATACTGTGATCAACGCACAGCTGAAGAAAATGGTCATCAATGTCAGTAAGGCATGCGCCAAGCTTGAAACGGCCTCCCAGATGACCGTCAGATTCTGATCAGTGAACGACTAGGGCATTCAAGCCACCAGCAAAGATCATGGTATCCGTATATTTCGTTATTCGAATTAAACAAGATGATAATATTCGCATTTGACAGCATGTAGTCGGTGGGAACGTAAGCCGAAACGACTTAACGACACCTTGTCTTCAGATGCTGCTTGCCAACCCCGATGAAGCTTCGAAGTGAAATAACACGCATGCGGCCGCTCACTGGAATTCAACCTAGAACAGGAGTTTCGGCACGTCTGTTGAGAGTAATTTCGACATCACGAGCGTGGGTTCGGTATCAGCATTGACGTCCAACCGTTACATCCCACGCCTTCCATGAAGGACCTAGGTGTACTCCCGCACTGTCCGTAAACAGAATGAATAGGCCACCTATTAAAGGAATGCGCATGCTTTGGGCAATCAAACGCGGTTTCTGCACTTGGTCTGAAGAGGTCACCACTCGCATCTCCTCTTCCAACATAAGACCAGTACTGGAGTACTGCTAGCTTGTATCAATACTGTACCACCGTAATAATATGCGGTAGGTCAAGATGAAATCGATTCGGTAAATTCCCCACGTTGAGGCCGCTGCTTCACTTGTGAAAGTCACACAACACACGCGGACATCGGTACAAGCTTTTGGTGCCGGAGAAAAAGCGAGTTCCTTACCCCATGCGCTTCGGAGCGTTTGGAACAGTCTGACAGAACAAGTTGAGTCCAAATCGGTGCATCAGTTCAAAACGTTGTTGTAGTTACATTGCACCGCCATTCGATTGCACACTAGCAATGACATCTTATAGTTGTGAGCCCATTGATATGGTAAGTCAGACATTTTAACGCTACATAAGAACTTGTGAAGCGATTAGGGTATCAACAGGTGACCGATGCGTTTTCACAATATTTTCAATCATTTTCCGATGGAGTTGTACGAATTTTAATTTCTACTTGTTCCCATAATACAGTATTCAGTAATCAAGGGGAACACGAAATGTACAAGCTTTATAATTTGAACCCGAGTCTGGAAGCGCATATCAAGCAGGACGGCGTTGTCTTACATGCGTATTTCAAAGACAGCATATTGCAACCCGACATAGTATAGGCAGACCGATCATAGGCTGTTGATCACTGACAGTGTGTGTGAACAATAGGGGATTCTATGTTCAAAAAATAAATCAGCTGTCTTGTTAGTAGGCCTCAGATAGACCAGGAATGGTGTTACTCAATTTCTGCCAAGAGTAAACCTGCTCAACAGCTCACAACACAATTTTATTACGAGCGTTACTGTATCACACGCCAATTACAATTCAACGACCAAGCTCCAGCAACAATTGACGGTGGCATGGCGATCAACATCAGATTTCTAGGTATGCAAAAAGCGTTTGATTGGGTGTCATACAAACCCTTATCGGCCGTACTTGAATCCTGTGAGATCGGCTACTCATCACTGAGCTGGTTCAATTCATATCGAACGATAGAACGCAGAGTATAGACAGATCAACACCGCTCCACTCCCAGAAATCTTACTAGTGGCGTTGTTCAGGGAAGTGTACTGGGACTCCTGTTTTTCCTCATTTGCGTAAACATATGGGATTACATAAGGTACGGGCGGCCATCTTGATTTACGGACGACAGAATAGTGTAGGCGTTTCCGCCTGATCATCTGAAGCAATGTATGAAGCACTGGACAAGTGGAATAAAAGCTAGTCGATGAGGTGTTCAGTGTATGAATCTCAGATATTCTGCCACAGGTCGGTCGGTGGCCTAGTGGTCTGCACGCCTGGTTTGCAACCATTAGGTTCGAATCCGCGTAAAGGCGGGCGTCCTCGCGGTATACACAACCCACGCGCGGCTAGTGGTAGTCGCGCGGCGTAAAGCTGACGCTTTATTTTTCATTAATCTGCCACAGATGTTGCCTAATAGAATGTTTCATAGTTCGTAATAGTTACCCCATCCCAACCAAGACGCGGGTGATCGATAATTTGGCAAACACAACTTCCCGGACGCATGTCACATCAAGTAGAGAAAGTGAAAGGACAAACATGTTATATTGTTAGGTCATTTCCGCTAATTCAAACGCAACTGGAATCACTCAAACGCCTACTGCGACCTGCCTTGGAGTACTGCCCCATCACACAGTCACATACGCAGACGTTAGAATTGCTTTGAAAAACATGTGTTCATTCACCAAAATCATCCCGGGGCACTTATTAACGCACCACTAAGAGGAATGATGACGCAACCTCTAGCTAGACCAACGCTGGCTTCGACGGTCGAAGAACAATCGCGTCCTCGTGTTACGCATTTACGACTTCCAAACCAGTACAGCCATCGTATAAAAAACTGCTTCAACTTGTCACATTCGCAATGGGATGTGCCGGATTCTTATAGAGAAGACCAAGTAAAATATTCGCTTTTATTTCTTTCTAGTGAGATAAGTCAATCCATGGAATAAGCTGTCCCTGCAACTATAAACAAATGAGAACTTGGTTACATTCCGATCCAGCATTTGTTCACATGTGGAATTTAACCAAAACATTCGGCAGTCAGTAATTTGAGCGCGCCCATGGAATCCGGCTCGAACGATGTATGATAACTTGCTAAGCTGTTCCTTACTGTCTATTTCGCAGAACGTGTGAATTACTAACCATAGTGACCTAAAATATATTAGTGAAAGGTTGAGAGCCGCAATTTTGATGTAAGTAATTCTCATATGTGAAGACTGAAACATTCGGAGCTTTTAGTGAAGTGAAAATATTATCTAACTCACTCTGATTTGCGCAGTGCAAATGGGAACGTATACTATCTATGAAAAAATATATCCGCTTATTTATTTATGTGTTGGATGATAAAAGAAACGAGAGAAAGGGAAGAGGAAAAGATTACTTGCGGTAGTGTCTGGTGGGTGGATGACACCCTACGATTGCCCATTACGAGAGGGGCTCTGTTCTAGGTGTCCTGTCCCGAGCAGTTTGACCCACAAAAGGATGGGGAGCACTCCAGTTCGACTGGAGAGTTACATTTAGATCTGCCTCACAACCGCCACATATGTTCCTGTAGTTTCAGATTGTGCACTTACAGCCACAAACAACCGTAAGTGGATCTTGGTGAGTTAGCGCTTGGTTTAAACAAGGGCTGTCTAGTTTGGGGTGGAAGTAATAAACCATTAAACATGAGTGGTGCTCTTCTGCCGTTAGAGACAACCTATAGAGAAGGTATTTCAAGCGATGCGAGCTGTGAGCTTATAAGTCGCAAAGTGTTGTCTCGCACAGCTAAATTTCGAAGAGGACCATCAACCACTCTCCAACCTCCGAAGAGGGTACTGAGACTGAGTTCGTCCGACTCCTAATCATGAACTAAGCTGGTATAATTGGCATTGAGAGCACTTGGACAATGCCTACCAAGGTAGCTCAATGGGGTCGGCCGGTGGTCGAGTGGTCTGCACGTTTGCTTTGCAACCATAAGATTATTATTATTATTAGTAGTAGTAGTAGTAGCTCAATGGGCCATGAAGGTACACAAACAATCGCACCACATTAACGTTTAGCATCGTCGCGATGGCATATAAAGTGGAACGACAGGCAACCAGACATCATCATCATTCATTACACACCTTAGCTAAAGGTGGAAAACCTCTCAGCAACCATACGCACACAAATGGATGACAACAACGCTTACCGCGACTGTGGTACCACATTTCCCAACACCATCGACGGAGATCGTATGAGCAAATCGAACAAACAGCACGGTAGAACCAACCACGGCGATCCAGAATTGGATCTTATTCAGTTCGATACCGAGGAACGGCTCCTACAGACAAAAAGAAAAAGGAGAGGAAGCAGTGGAAAACGCAGAGGTCATGCCAAAAAGCACGTGAGTTGAAAAGTAGTTAAAAATCATCAGAAGCCTTTGAATGGTCGATCAAAACACATGACAAGGACTGTCAATCCTTCAAGGCAACTGACGTAGCAAGACAGAACCGACAGGTGAGATGATATAACAGTTGACAAGACATACGCTAGATTGGATGATCAACGCACGAAGCATAATCGCCTGATACTGTCAAAATTGTGCACAGCGACCCAGTGAAATGTAGTATACTTGGTGCAGATAAGCGGGCAGTCAGTATTCCGATCCATTAAGTTTGGAGGCGCCCTTTTATTTTGGTGGGTGAGCACAATTAATTAAAGCGTGCTCTTATAAACTGGAGAAAGCCACAAACATCCAACCAACAGACAAAAGGATATCACCAATGTGAGACAATAGATGGCGTTCTTTCTTAGTGGTAGTCTACATATACGTTTCGGGTGTCGTCAATGATGGTTGCCATTGAGTGAATACTGGTACGATCGGAAGGATTCTCGAAATCCGATTAGTACAACAGACGCGTAGCTCATGGGAACAATTTGCTCGGACCACTCCTCTTGTTGCTCAGTTGTCTCGATCCTACCTCCCGAGCTGCTGGCACCGACGGTTGGTGTCAGTGTACACGTTCATAGAATGCTGCGTAGAGAGCTATTCGTTGAAGAAGCCTCGTTGTCGTGTTTTTCTGCCGGATAAAACCACTAGTTAGTCCACACAAAAGTGTCCCTCCTTGTTCACGTGAATTAATATCAAAGACGTGTAGTATCTTCAGTGGGCCATCTCACGCTCCGGCATATTCGATAATAGCTCGCTCCCATCAAGTTCACATACCCACGAAATCAACTGTAGCTTGTATGCGATGCTTTATCGTTCCAGTGAGTTCATCCCATCTTTAGAAGCGTGAATATGGTTGTATGAAAGCGCAGCATTAATCCTGCTTGTTGACACGGTTGTTATGGTCGAGGATGATGACGGTAACACTTGATTTTCGGGATAACGTGGGACGGCAGGACTTGAACGACCTGGTTATCAATCGACATCTTGGAGTACGTTTGGAACCGATAGGGAAGTAATCATTTCAGTAAGCGTGGGGGACGATCAGTTAGTAAATCTGTCAAGCGCACGACGTTTCGCTATTGCGTCAAAAGGGACGGCATGACAACCGTGATCGAATAGCTTGCCTAAAGGGGAGCAGGTGTTTGTTCTACGTGCAGAGACCAGTTAAAAGCGTGCAGTGTTTTGTACAAAAATACAGCAGCACAAAAGAATAAAACAGACGAAGCAAGTAGCTAAAAATGACGAAGACGACTCGCATACCTCAGTAGGAAAATTTGGACTATAGTGCAAAATTATGAGTGTGGATACAACATATGCGATTAGACCTGAAACAGCCAAGGTGATGAGGTCCACTCTCTTAGGCGCAAAAGTTACTCCCCAACTCCAAAAAGGTTCCAGTAGGGATTCGACTGCAGATTTTCCAAGACATGTCAGCGCTCAATAATCCGGAGTAGCTGTTCTTTCAGGAGTGTATCAGCGGAGAGCATAACATAACCAGCGAGTCTACATTAACAAGGAGGAGTTTCAGGGCTGTTGGTTATCGAAATCTTAAGCTCAACAGGGAACGGAAAAATGGGACCGTCAAATGAGTGTTCCTTCTTCAGCGAGCCTTCGAATCCGGTTACGAAGTGCCTTGGGCTCTTGATGAACTTGGTTTCCTCCTCCTTAGTGTTAACTTGAATTTCGCGTGTGAAGTCTTTGAGATTGCAGCTTTAAAAGTGCGGTCTGGCGGCAGTATTCGAAGAAGTATAGTGTTGTTATGTTTTCGTCAATCCAATAGTTGTTAGAACGTTGTCGTTCTAGACGGAGATGTATCGGATTTCGGGTACTTACCGATCGTTTCCGTTACGTTTTTCTAACCAGCCTTGGTTAGTTTTATCAGTAGTTTGCATTTAATAATCCGATTTGCGCCCTTTTAAAAAAAGCACTGTACCCGTTTAATGCTTTTTAATTGTCATGGCGGCTTTACATAATAATGACATTCTTGTGCCTTCGGGTTTATTGTCTAATGAATCTGCTGCTATCTGTAGCAATTTAGATCGTTCGAAGTCCATTACGTACGATTATGCAGGCAAGCAATGGGATGTTTGTATCCAGTGATACTACAAAGGTTGAACCGGCCTTCAGGTAAAACAATATGCGCTGTTGTCGATGAGCGATAGCCGACTATTTAGGCATGTTGGCTGCTGTTGGTGAGAGTTGAAATGTTTGACTTGTAACGGTGCAGACATGGCGGCGTTCCGCCCAGGGTTGAAGAAGATTGAGCAAACATCCTCTTCCTTTATGCTATTCCTGAAACAGAGTCAAACGCAATCCCGTAGGTTTAGGAATAGGATGATAGTGGGCCTATGGTAGACGTGGCAGTGTTCGAGCTGGCCCATCGCGACAAGACTGGACCTTAGCGTGGTGCGATGATTTGCATGCGTCAGTGATCCGTTGAGCTATGCTTTGTGGTGCTTTTGCACATACAGAGCCAATCATACCAGATTACTCAATGGTTATAGGCCAGACCAACTCGGTCTCCTGGCCCTCCAGGTTGGGGGTTGGAGTGAGGGTGGGTTCTTACTCTATAAGCCGGCCCGTAGCCTAGATAACGGGCTTGTCGTGTAATTTTGTGGCGCGGGTTCGAGCCTACATAGGGGAAGGCGGCTCACGCAGTATCCTTATACCACGTGCGGCCGGCAGTGGTTGCGCGGCAGCGAAGCATCGGTACTGCGTACCGGCGTAATGCTGATGCCTTATCCTATGAAATGGACTCTGTAGCCCAGTGCCAAAATCCATCTGCATTATGGTCAGGTTTCGAATCAAAGGCTTTGAATGAGAACCTTATTCGTTCTCCTGTCTAGACCTGGGCAATCTGACAGCATCCTGCTCACGCAATACAATACAATGAGTTCACCTAAAAACAATCTATTGATGCTCTTGCCGTCGCAGAGGATAATAAACGGCGTGCTATCTGCTGCATCAAGCAGGGTGAATAGGGCTATGGGCGCTACTGCTCAGACCTTCCCGCCTTTTTACACTTACTCTTGCGCTTTTCATCCTTATCGTCCCGTTCCAAACTCAATTTTTTCTCCTTTGTTTTCAGCCCTAAATTATCCGCCCTCCCGTATCTTACTTTGATAGTCATTTGTCTTCCAGTTTAAACACACATACAATCGCAGGGCGTCGCTCTGCCCCAGTCGACAAGTCCACGTGCAACCAAGTGGACAATACCAGTTCATCAGCTTTTATTTAAAGCTCACCATTCGCTCTAAGACTGGCACGACTCAACTTGTGCACTTTGCTGCGGATTGGCCAACGGGCAGTACTTGCCTGAACACTGGAGACATTATCGATGGACATCTGCTGTTTATCGAAAATCCGCCAACAAGATTCGAGTACTGTGATTACACTGCGATCGCCAAACTGCGACACTGGAGACGGTGGCCACTGCGTTTGGCCGGAAATGACGCAGTTTCAGATGCCGGTCAAGCCGTTGTGCGCATCGATCTGAACCCTCGGGTTGGATCTGCTCTGATTGACTGGATCCTAATGAACAGCCAGAAGTGCGTTGTTAGCTTGTGTGGCTCGTTCAAAGCTTTAGGATCTGGTACCTGTTTGTCACTGCTACATACGCCCGCACAAATTGCAGCGCTCACTCAGCGAAAGGTGACTATTATGACCAACTGAACGAGCTCCGTAACAGAAAAAATGCGGATACTGTGGTGCTTGCTGGTGCTGGGAATGCCTAAGTTGGAAAACTGCCAATAATAGGCTTCATCTGGGCGGCCAACACGGCGTAGGCTACATCGGTGAGCGGGTTGCTACACATGTGTCGATACTGGCCAATCTTTAATCAACAATAATTTCCGACACAGCACCCACAAAAGTGACATGGCGCCAACTAGCTTCGGATCAACCAAGGATGCAAATCGATCAAATCGCGATCCGTTACGCTTTGAGAGGCTGTGCCCAAAAGTGCCACTCGAATTGCAGCACGAAGGTTGACTCAGACCACGCACTTGTACGTGCCAAACTGCGGGTGCTTTTCGGCGCATAACCGTCACGGCTCAGTGAGCGCAAAGTTAACTGTCAACCGGCGAATCAAGGTTATCTGAATCTGTATCAAGGTACGCTGGCGTCCGACCTGAGTAAGCACAGAGTGAACACAGTTAAAGATCGCTGGTGGCATATGCTTCAGACGTTATTAACAGTAGGTATGTCTTCATGTGGCGAATCAAACTGTCAAGCTGGACATTGGGTCTCTACATAGTCTCTGGAACTTCGGGATGCTTGCCGACGTGTACCGGCTGGAAGCAAACACAACACTCGCAGAGATCTCAGGGCGAAAGTGCGTGCTAGCCTGAAGGCAGATCAGGAAGTTCGATGGTTTTATAGTGCATCTTAAATGAAAACAGCCGTTGCCGTCGGTAACTATACTGTTATTCAGTCCGATACGGAAAACAGGTAGCAAGAGACCTGGTGTTAGTAAGACTATATGCGACGAGAGTGGACAGCCGATCCACAGCATGTAAAAGCGCTTGGAGCGTTGGGATGAACACTTTGAGAAGCAGTTTAATCAGAGTTGCTGTCTTCTGTAACGGCCATTGATCACTACTCTTTGGGTCGTCCCCATTGATCCGCCCTCAGGCACAGAAGCCGAAAGTGAGATCAGACAGCTAAGATTGAAAAAGGCCGCGGGAGCAGACTTCCTTCAGCCCTCCTCAAATTCGTAGAACCTGTTTTTGTGGATGATTTTCACAACATACTCGTGAAGCTGTTGGACCACACTGGAGGCGCTCCGTCATAATTCAAATCTTCAAGGGAAACTATGGTTCGGAGTGCGGCAATCACAGAGGGATCAGGTTGATCTCAATTGCCTCTAAGTTAATTGCCTCTGTCGTCCT